GGCTCAATGAAGCACGGAAACATTTGCCTGACTTTAAGTGTGTGCTTAGCACCCTGCAGGAGCCTGGAGCTGCGGGAACACCAGTTTCCCTCCCCAGTTTGTCCACTGGAGGAGCAGAGCAGGGAGGCGGCGAGCCAAGGGTCCAGCAAAGAGCTCAGCAAGATTTATGGGAGGGGAAGGGACCCGCTTTCTTTTCTGTGATTAATAAGGAGAAGACAAGAAACCTCCTCGAAGCCCGGGTGGAGGCATTTCCCCTCTCGGTGTCCGGTTTGATGGGGTCATTTCGAGCCAAATTCCAGTGCGATCGCTGCTGGAGATACCATTTCCTCGGAGGGTCCCATCCTGCTTGGGGTCCCCTGTGGTTCCCATCCCCTCCCATGGATCGGGGGCAGCGGAGACACCGGGGCTGGAAGATCTTCTCCCTCCGTCCTGCTCCAGGACGCGGTGACCCTGCTGAGATGTTTGGGGGTCACACTGTAGATGGCAGTGGTGCGGTGACATTGCCTGGGAGGAAACCGGGTGAAATCGGGGTCTGCCGAGGCAGGTCCCAAATGGGAACGGCCGGGAGGGGAGGAACTCTGTGCTGGAGCCCGTGCTTTCGGCGTTACGCCATCGTCTGCAGAGGGGGAGTCCGAAATGGGGTCAGATTCCCAGCTCGGGTGGGGAAACGCCTGGCTGGTTCCCAGGGTCTCGCCCTGGATGAGAACAGGGAGGCGAAAGGGGCTGGAATCAGGGCTGGAAAAAACGATTAAAAGGTTCAAAATCCCTCAGGATGTCACATTTACCATCACCGGGACCTTCTCCTCCAGGACAGGAGGTGTGCTGATGGTCTCGGGTGCCAGCAGAGCCCCGCAGATGCTCCAGTAGTGATTTTCCTGCTTGTTCCTCCTGCAGCGTGGCTGCATCGCTCACAGCCCTGCCCTTGCACGTCGCTTGGTCTTGCATTTCACCCTGGGATGTGTCACAAAAAAAAACTCTCAGGGTGGCCACAACTCACGTGGGTGGCAGGCTGGCAGCCCAGCATAAGGCTCCGGCACGGAGCGGGCGATTTGCTGGCTGCGAGCAGAACGGAGCCCAAACGGGGCCACGGGGCTGTAATTCTTACCTTGGGGTCACCTGCCAGCCCGCCTCCCCCGTGGCGTATAGATCAGCTGGAGGCGTGAATTTAAAGCGGGCGAGATAAATTACATTAAACCCGCGCACGGAGCTGCTCGTTCCAAAGGCAGCCGGCCTTAATTCGGTTTAGCTTTGCGAATTAAGCTAAAGTGAATTAAACCAACTCTAATTCTGAATAAGTGTCCAGAAAGGGGCTTTATGTGCTCTAGCTAATCCACTTTCAAAGTTGATTTGGATTAATGCTGATGAATGTCCCCTTATAGATCTGTCTCAGTGCCGCCGGGCTTGCCCGGCTGCCAACGCGCCTCGCGGCGAGGATTTACAACACTCCGGTGCTGAACCCGCCTCCCTCGTGTCCTGCTCCAGCATCACGAGCTCGTTCGTCCTTCCAGGGGATGCTGAGGCTGAGGTTCAGCTGCTTGCTTAAAGGACAGGATCCGTCCGGCTTCACCACCCAACCAGCGTTGGGTTTAGCCAAATGTTCCCTTCCTGTGGGGTCAATGGAAGGAGACGAGATGGATTTTGGGCACTGATTTGGAGGTTTCCCTTTCCCGGTGCAGGATTCCTGGTGGATTTGCGATGAGCACTTCAATTAAGTCCTGAAGGTGCTTGTCTCTCTCCATTGACCGTAGAGAGGATTTGGGGCATGAAGTTCCCAATTCAGGCACATCTATTAAATGACTAATGTGACGCAGATGAAAAGTGCCCACACAACTGAAGAATATTATTTATTATGTTATGAAATATCATAATATGAAGTGATCATAATATAAAATGATCAAATATTCTGAATGCAGGCAGTACAAGGACCATGGCTGCCTCCCAGCCTTCGCGATACCACGGCTGCTTGTGCAAGCAGGGAGTGATTGGAAAGGCCAATGAATCACCGACCAAGAGGCTTGTCCACACTTCTGACAGCCCACCCGAGACCATGGAGCAACCGAGCCCCAAATGTCCTCACCTCCTGCCAAAAAGAGCCTGGCAAGCCTTCTCAGAAGAACACATCCCCTTGACTTTGTCCTTTCAGAGTCCACTGACGCATTAACAGCTAAGCCTGTGGCTGCCGGCTTCATTTCTCTTGCAGAACAGCCAATTGGCAATGGATCAATACAGCAGAAAGTCAGCAGGATGGTAGCTAAGTAAATTATTTCCCTTCGGGAGGCAACGTGGAGATGGCTGAGAGCAGAGCACCTTGCTGTCCCACAGCCTGCAGATGGGGCTGGTGTAGAGCAAGCTTTGGGGTGGTGGAGCCTGGTAGGCTTGCTGTCTCCCTGCTGTGACCTTGCACGTGGCTAAAGAATGAGCAGATTGGGTGAAAAAGGTGAAAATTAGCTCAGCAAATCCCCATCACACCAGAGGGCTGTTGGAGCCTGCCTGGCACCACATCCACGCAGGTTGGGCATTGCTCATTGAAAAAAGGGTGGACAGAAGCAAGGGGAGGACAGAACATTTTTTTTTTTTTTTCCAGCACTAGTGGTGGATTTTCTTTCCTCAAATAGAAAATATTGGCATGGATCAGTTGCCTCATCTCCTCCCAAAGTCAATGGAGAAAGGTGGAGTACTCCAGGTTGGGTCCTGAGCATCCCTTTGGAGGATGAGCAAGCAAGCGCTCACCTCTCCCCAGAAGGGGGACAGAAGGGGGACAGAAGGGGAGGCCAGACTGCTGCCTTTGTAGCCATGGGATTTGGGATGAAGCCAACCTGGAGGCCCTTCTGCCAGCTTTTGGGGGGGCCTCAGGTTGGGTCCTGTCCTGGGGATGCACCTGATAGGGAACATGCAGGCAAGCAAATCTGAATTAACTAAGGGTTTGGGTTGAAAGTGCATTAATTTAAAGTGCATCTGAAGTGCATGCAAAATGCATGCAAAGTGCACTTTGGTAGGGATGAAAGTGCTCCTCAGTCAATGGAAGGTAATTTACTGCCGCTCCCCCGGCGTTTCGGTCAGGATCCATCTCTCTTTACCGTAGACGCCCGCAGGTCCGCGAGCTTCTCGTCTCGGCTCAGGGAGGGAGAAAAGCATCTCCCTCGGCATGGGCAATTCCCCGCCGCCCCCCGCGGCTTACGGGATGCAGCAAATGGCTTCCTGCAGCCGCCCCTCTTCCCCCCGTTGCCTTTGGGAAGAGGACGGGCAACGCATCGCAAGGGAGCGAGCAACCGGGAGCCGGGGAGAGCATCCCACCCCCGGGCTGAGCACGGCACAAACCAGACACCGACCTCCCTCCCTCCCAGCCCTGCCTCCCCCCAGCACCGGCTTTGTTTGCAGGGGGAGGCTGATGGTTTTATAGGGCCCACAAAGCTGTACCGGGAAGCTGCCGGGGGCTGCCGGCTCCGAGAAGCTCGGCCGGAGCCGTGGAGCATCCCATAACATAAAGGGCAGCCCACCCAGCACCATTAATACCAAGGGCTGAGTGCCAAGGGCTGGGCTTTTAAGCCCAAACAGCCTGAGCTTGGAAGGAGTCCTCTCCTAAAACTGTACGGGATGGAGCACACCAAAATCCTGCCGAAATCCCCTGGGTTGGGTCTGTCTTTGTGGCAAACTGGGATGAAGCCACCTCTTTTTTTATTTTTTTTTTTTTTCTTTTCACTATGAAATTTTCAAGGGGAACTTGGGTTTTGGAAGGGAAAAGCCAGCAGACGTGAGCACCCCAAATGCTCAGGCAAAGCCCTGGAATCAGCAGCGTTGACATGCAAAGCCAGGGCGCATTAAAAGGATGAGCACAAGCAGGGAGGAGGGGGGATAAATTCAGCACGGCGCTTCCCACGCCGCTGTAACCAAACCCCTGCTTTTCCAGGGCGAGAAAAAGTGTGGAAAATAGTTGAGCTCTCCTAAACCCAAGCACGTCAGCGTGAAACTCAATAATCCTCGAGCAGGGCTGAGTCCTCGAGCGCAGGGCAGGGGCGAGCCAGGGCCGTGAGCTCCTTACCGGGGCTTGCCAGCGGAGCGAGCAAAACCAATTACCATAATGAGCAGCAAGGCTTTTTTAGAAAGGATCTCGGGCTCCCAGCTCGAGGTTTTAAATCAATCTCTTCCTAGTGAAGGCCAGGCAGATGAGCACGACCAAGGAGGCTGTCGCCGTTTAACGAGCTCTCACCTCTCGGCAGGGCCGCGGCGACACGGTGGTGGGTGATGGGGATGGAGCAGGCTGGTTGCGAGCCCTCTGTTTTGGGGTGAACAAATAATTTGCATTATCTGGCTCCGTGCAATCCCTTGGGACGTGTTTTTGAACATTCCCCTTCCAGCTGGAATTGCATCTGACACCAGCTCGCTCCGTGGGAAGGGGTTGGGTCGCTTTGGGGTGTTTTCCTGGAAATTCCTGATTTGTGCCGATTCTCTCCACTGACTCCAGAGGGAGCCTGGGTGAGCCACGATGAGGGGTTTATACCCAAAATGACCTCCGCCAAGGCCAGGGATGCACCGAGGCTCCTACATCGCCATCCCAAAGCATCCCTCCCATGGACACCGCAGGAGGGATGTATCGGTGGCTCAAACCCTGACCGAGCACCGCCACCTGCAATTACCAATCCCAACCTCATTAGCAGGACACATTCACCTTGTCTGGGGCAGTCGTTCCCCTAAAGCAGCAGGAGGTGATGACATCCATCCCCTGTCTTTTTGGAAGGGCACCCCAAAAGGTGCCCAAGGCACAAGGGGCAGCAGCGGGCGCTGCACCGCGCTCGCAGGGCCGCCGGCACCCACGTCCCCGCCTCGAGCCCCAGAAGTCTATTTATTACTCGCAGCGATTAATAAGCGAGAGAAGGGGAGGCAGACGAGCATTTCTGCTGCCTGTTGCTAATTAGTGCGCTGCTCGGAGGAGCGGGAGACGGGGAGACGGAGGCTGCAGGGAGCTCGTTCGCCCACGATGCTTAATGAAAGCAGCACAACCCTTCGCGTTATTTAATTTAATAGGAGAATTAATATCTGGATGGAGGGCGATCGCCTCTGCTCTGCAGACGGGGGGACGGACGCAACATCCATCTTGCTTTATTCCGAAAAGCGTCTCAAAGGCGATTTGATTACACGGTAATAGGTGGGTTTTGGTGGTGTCGGTGGTGTTGGTTTTGGGGTCGGTTTTCCCTTTTCGGCTCGGTGGGGTGGAGGCCTCCAGTCCTCCCATTGCCCAACAAATGAAATCCGCGCCTAACCCTTCACCCAGCGCCATCCGCTGATAAAGTCCCCCAATCTTAATTCAATCTGTAAAGATTAGGCCAGCAATAAGAAGCATCAGAGGGCTGACGTCCGCGGAGTCTCCCCGGGGCGGGTGACAAATGGCTTTGTGACAGTAATCGCAAAATTAGAATCTGCATCGCAATCCCCTCCGCTCGCAGCCCGCCGCCGCGCCGCGCTCCTCCCCAGAAGCCGGTGCAAAGAAAGGTCACGCAGCGGCACCGAGCGCCTTGCATGCTAATGCACGGGGAGGATTTCGGGTTAAAAAAAAAAAAAAGAAAGAAAGAAAGAAAAAAAAAAGCGGGTGTTTATTTATTTATTGTCCATTGTTCTCGCGCGGCGCTGGGAGAGGGCTGCTGGCGCGCCGCGGAGCGTTCAAGGCAGCGTCTCTTGCTCCATGCACCCGTGGCTGGAGCGGGGGTGAGCGGGTTTCCAGCTGGGGATTTCCAGCGTGCTGGGGGCAGCCGGTCCCCTGGGGCATTTCCAATCTAATAATGATGAAGGCAAACGGCTGGGCCATGCGCCCTGGTGTAGCAACGAGGCCAAACCACGCTGCCCGCCCCGGCTCCCACCGGGCTCCTGCGCTCTGCATCACGAGAAATCCGCTCCTGGTTGTGCCCAGCGTGGTGAACCAGGGCGATGCTTTGCACCAAAATGTATCTATCACCCCAGCCTGCTCCCACCTTTTTGGCTGCAAATTCACTGCTGCATTAAATCCGTGCAAAGCCGCACGTTGCACGCCTGCGCAAAGCCACCTGCCCTTCACCTCAAGCGTGCAAGGGTGTGCAAGGGGCCTCCTGCACCCTCCTGAGGGCTGCGGGAAGAAGCCCAGGAGGGGAAGGAGCTGGGGCGGCCCCACTCGTCTCGTTAGCGCGGGGCGAGGCTGCCTGGAAGCTCTCATTACTGGAACGCCGCGAGCGCGAGTCCCGCTTGACCTTTCCGCCGTACGAGGTGCAATTGAGTTAGCGCCGAGTTGTGATTTAATTCCCGGAATGGAGTTGTAATTCGCTTACAGCAGCCATTTTCCGGGCGCGCTCGAGCAGCCGGCGAGCTCCCGGCTCCTCCGGGGTGCCGGCATTTCACGGCAGCAAGCAGGGTGCTCGTCCCCCCCCCACCCCCCCGGCTGGGGTTTTGGCTTTGGCAAGCAGGAGGGATGCAGATCTGTCCCTTGCACAGAGCCACCCTAAATATACGCATGGGTGTGCTCCCGAATTAGGAAAGCACCTGCATAAGGGAAAACACACCTCTGCACCACGCCAGGGCATGTGCACACACGTCTGGTAGCATTTAGCCCTCATCCGTACTCCGACACGCACGGGAGATGAATGCTCATCTCCTAAAGGAGAGAAAAATGCACCGAATCTGCAATTGGACGGGATTTGCACTTTCTCTCCTCATTTTTCACCCTTGCGGTGGTTGCTCTTGCTTGCACCAGGTTCCTTGAAGGGGACTGGGACATTGTTTCTGAGCGTGGTGCCAGCCACCCGCTTGCACCCCAAAGTTTGGCACCCAAGAGGATGAAGTCCTCCCCCGAATGGAATAATAACCGGCTCATTGCAATGCGGGGTAAATCATCTCGGAGGCCATGAGGGGGGCAATAAAATAGATTTGGAAACTGCATCCTTGTCCCTGTGCAGGGTGCAGGATGTGGGATATGGATGCGGGATGAGGGATGTGGGATGAGAGATGTGGGATGAGAGATGTGGGATGTGGATGCAGGATGTGGGATGAGGGATATGGGATGAGGGATGGGAGATGTGGGATGCGGGATGCAGGATGAGGGATGGGAGATGTGGGATGCGGGATGCGGATGCTCCTGGGTGCTCAGGAGCGGGATGCAGGCGCGGGGAGGAGGCGGCATTGTGCGGGGCTGGAGCGGGCGGGCGGCTGCATACAAACCGGGAGATGAAAAGGGTGAGAGGCCTCGCCAAGCGAGGGCTGTCCGGGTGATTAATGGGGGTGAGCGCAGGGTGAGGCCCCTCCTTCCCGAGAGCCACAAGATGGCAAAGTGATTCTAAGAACAAGAGAGCAGTGTTCGCCGAGAAAGCAGCCCAGAGAGCCTCCTGGAAAAAAAGAAAATACACTTTATTCCCAGCAGCTTGGAGAGCCAGAGGTTCCTCTCCTCCTTGGCTTGTTGGTTCTTTTGTTTGTTTGGGGTGGGATTTTTTGTTGTTGTTGTTCGTTTTTTTGTTGTTTTTTTTTTTTTTTGGTTGATTCTTTTTTTTTTTTTTTTTAAACTATTTTAATAAAAATAAATAAGTGCGACGAGGACGTGTAAATGGCAGCGAGAATTGCAACGTGCTGCCAGGTCAAAGCCGCCTGGGAGCTGCCGTATATTTACATCTCTATTTGCTTAGGAAACAATAACCCACGGGGAGGAAGAGGGGAGGCGCCGGCGGAGTGGGTGCAGCACAACACGGCTTTGGGGGGGGGCTGCTGCAAGGGGCCCCCACCCTCCAAAGACAGAAAAAAGAAAAAAAAAAAAAGAATAAAAAAAAAATTTGGGACCCACAGGCGATTTTTGCAAAGCATCCCAAACCTGCTCGTTTCTCTCCCTTTTGCTCCAGCACGGTGCCGATGCCAGATTTTGGCTTCTCTTTCCGAATAGCTGCATCCAGGGGGGGGGATGGAGGTGGGCAGGGGGGGTAGCACTGCAGAGCTGCCCCCAAACCTGCCCCAATTCCTGTCCCCAAAAGGGATGGAGCAAGGTGGGAAGCCGGCGCTGCTGCCCGTGGCCACGTCTCGCCCAGCTTGAACCTGCCAAAATCGCGATGCTGGTGGGTGCACAGCGATGGGGTTCCCTTAAATGACATAATAGGGCCACTGCAATTTTCCCAGCCCCGTTCCCGTAGCAGGAGGCCTCCCCCCAGGCAGACCCTCGCCAGCTCCCCCCCAGGCACAGGACACGCCATCAAATCTCTGGGGCTGGGGCTGAGCAACCCTGGGGGCTCCCCAGCTGATTTAAACCCCTTATTTTGGGGGAAAAGCACCAGAGCGCACCAAAGATGGGTTGGGATGCTGAGCCCCCCCCCAGACCTGGGGCTGCTCTTCCTCTCCCTCCTGCTTTTCCTTCCTCCTTTCTTTCTTTATTGCCACCTCTCCCCATCCATCTCGCCGTCCCACCGTGCCTTCTTTAATACGCAGCTAACCAAAGTGACAGCAAAATATAATGCCTGCCACCTCACGAATTGAGATGCAGGAGTTATGCCCAGGGCTCGGAGCCGGGATTAAAGCTCGCCTCCAGCCCAGGCGAGCGTTGTTTTAAGGAAATTAAGGGAGATTAAGAAACCACGGGAGGCGTCGCAGGGGGAGCCGGGCATTTTGGTGGTGATGCTGGGGGAGCTGTGGGGATGGGGAGTGTGCTGAGGATGGGGCGCAAGGCAGCATCGCCGTGCCCCGGGGCTGTGGGTGCTTTAGGGTCTGGGGTCCCTAGGAGCAGGAGCCTTCCAGGACCTCAAAGACATATCCCAAATGTTGCCGAAATGCAGAGAGAAAAGCTATAGGAGGCCTATAGGAGACCTACAGGAGATGCTGAGTGATGGGAGGTATGGGGAGGGGATGGGAGGGGATGGGTGACCATGGGGTCTGAGCTGGGGGGCCCTGGGTGGGCTCAGGGGGTGAACAAGGGGACCCCCACCCTCCTTCACACCCATAGGTGAGCCCACCCGAGCAGCACCCTCGGCAGGGTGACATCCCCCTGAGCCCCATCCCTGATGGGTGACACTGCCTGGGGGGCCCAACCCAGCCCCCTCTGCGGCTGCACATCCATACGGCCCACAAGGAGGGTAAGGAAAACAGAAAAAATATTAAAACATGGAGAAAATATATAGAAAAAGTATAAAAACAGGGCCCTACAGAATTACAGACATCCGGAAACGGGGACATACGGACCCCCCCCCCAAATCTGTGGCTCCATCCCCAGAAATCACACCCCACACCCCCCCCCACAGCTCACAGGAGCAGCACACGCAGCTCTATAGGCGTAGAGACGTATGGAGGCACGTATAGGGGCAGGCACATATAGAGAGAGACGCGTAGATATGGAGGCACGTATATAGAGGGTCATGTGTATATAGAGGCACGTACGTATGGAGGCACATATAGAAGAGAAAGGCACATATATAGAGAGAGACGTACATATAGAGGCACATATAGAAGAAAAAGGCACATATAGAAGAGAAAGGCACATATATAGAGAGAGATGTTCATATAGAGGCACATATAGAAGAAAAAGGCACACATAGAGGTGTGTATATATGAAGGCACGTATAGAAGAGAGGCACACAGAGAGAGACGTACATACGGAGGCACATATAGAAGAAAAAGGCACATATAGAGAGAGGCACATACGTATGGAGGCACATATAGAAGAGAAAGGCACATGTAGAGAGAGGCACGTAGATGTGGAGGCACGTAGAGAAGAAAAAGGCACATATAGAGAGAGAGACGTACATATAGAGGCACATATAGAAGAAAAAGGCACACACAGAGAGAGACGTACATATGGAGGCACATATAGAAGAAAAAGGCACATATAGAGATAGACTCGTACATATGGAGACACATATAGAAGAAAAAGGCACATATACAGAGAGAGACATACATACGAAGGCACATATAGAAAAAAAAGGCACACACACAGACACAGAGAGAGACATACACATGGAGGCGTATGCATACGGAGGCACTTATAGAAGAGAAAGACACGTATAGAGAGAGGCACGTACATATAGAGGCGCATATATATGGAGGCACGTATACATGGAGGCACACACATGTAGAGGCACATGCATAGAGGGCCATGTATGTATAGAGGCACGTGCAGATAGAGGCACAGAGAGAGGCACATGCGTACGGAGGCACATATAGAGGGGGGCACACATATATATAGAGGCACGTATAGGGGTACATACACGTGGAGGCACATATAGAGGCAGCACACACATATGGAGGGGACAACACGCACGGGGACCCAGCTGTTGCACTGGGTGCCAACCACCAGACCCAGGCAGCAATGGGGGGGGCTACATCCTGCCCAGGATAAAGGGGGGGGGACCCAACGAGGTGGCCGCGCACCTGCACGCCGCTTGGCACCGAGCCCGCTTCGTTAGCTCGGAGCATAAATTAGACGTGCGCACACACACACACACACACATGGGTGTGCGCACACGCATGCACACGCGCGTGCGCTGGCCCAGAAAGCGATTAGCTGCGGCTCGAATTTGCATCTGATTAACATTCCCACAAGGGTTATCCTACAGCCCAGCGCGGGCGGGGGCTCGCTGCACAAACCCGTTTACGGCGCCGAAAAAATAAAAATAAATAAAAAAAAAAAGAACCACAAAATTTTGGCTGATGCAGGAGGATGAGGCCGGGTTGAGGGGGGGGGGAGAAGAGGCTGGGGGAGGATGTAAGGGGGCTCCAGGGGAATGTAAGGGGGGGGGAAACGGCGTCAGGATCTGGCCCCGAGCAGTGGGAGACGCATTGGGAAGCGAGTCACGTCGAGTAATTTATGGTTGATGCTTCTGCGGGAGTTTAAGACCTCGATGCCTTCCATAAACTATTTTACTTGTTTAAAACCCACGGTGGCGGGGGCTCGGAAGGAATTCGGGGCTGGGGGGTAGGTTTATTTGGAATTCCCTTGGAAAATAGGGCTGGGGGGATGTCGCCCTTGCCCAAAGCCATTATTTGGGGGGGATTTGGGGGGATTTTTGCACCCCATCTCCTACCATCGGTACCTGCGCGGAGCCAGGACCCCCCATCCGGGCTGCGCTTGAAGAGCAAAGCAATGGGGATGAGGGGGGGGGCGCAGCCCCCGAGTCTCATTCTCAATTAGAAAGCCTTTTACACTCTCGAAACGCAGCAGTTGAGAGAGCGAGCGAGCGAGAGAGGCATTTCCAATAGTCACACTTGTCAAGTGAGACCATCTTTTAGCCCTCAGGAACAGCAAATCCCCGTGAACTCTGGGTGAACCAAGATTGAAGCCATAAATCAGCCCTACAAAAGCCTGCTGTTGGATGCGGGTGCCGGGCTCCTACCTTTAACGCTTTCGCGGGCGAAGGAAGGAGGAAAGGAAGGGGGGGGGGAATGCAAAAAAAAAAAAAAATAATAATATACCGATAGCAAAAGTTCAAATTATCTGGGTGAGGTGAGAGGAAGAGGAGGGAGGGGGATGAATCTCTTCCCAGGGTGAATTATGAAGCCTCTGAGCCCCTCAGTGGGGTGGGGTTGGGGATTTTTTGGGGTGCTGGGGTGGGAAGGGGGGGGGGTGTAGCTTGGAGAGGAGGAGGTGGGGGGGTGGGAGGAAGGAAAGGGGTGGAAGGGGAGATGGAGGAGAAAAAAGCATTGATTAGCGAAAGGAAATAGCTGGCGTAATGGATCTGGAGGAGAGGTCTCTTTTGCGGAGGGGCCATCGATCCGCTAATGGGAGAAAGAAAATGGGCGAGAGAAAAATATATAAAAAGCCTATTAAGAAATCCCCGGGAGTGGTGCACGGCATACAGATGGGCCCTGGGCGAGCCCCGTGGCTATTTGGGACACGCGTGTCCGTGCTCACACGTGTCCGTGTCCACGCGTGTCCGTGCACACGCGTGTCCCTGCGCACACGCCAAGGATGGTTTCGCTCCTTTCCACACCCAAATTCCCCCCTTCCCAAAAATCAACCCTTCCCTTCTCAGCATCCCCCCTGCTTTTGGGGCCAAAAAACTAAAATAAAACCCAAGGAACCAGCACCCAGCTCGGCCCCAGCCACGAGGAAAGTTGCCCCCACCCGCGTCCCCTTCTCCCGTGCGCCCCGCTTGGCTGCTCGGAGATGACAAACAATATGATGGATCTGGTTTATGTTAATTCGCGGTGCCCTTTCCTCCAGAATTTAACTGTAAGTTAATGTACACCGGAAACTCCGGCTCGCCGTGCTTTGCTAATGGGCTGAGGTATTAGCTGCTTCTAACGATGCATACAAATGTACTTGTCTCTGTGGGCTGCCCCAAGATTTATGGCTCTTTTGCCTTCTGTAGCTGTAAACAAGGGAGAAAAAAAAGCCAGTCCATGCACCGCTTACTACCTGAAGGAGCCTTAAAAAAAAAAAAAAAACACAAAAAAAAACAACAACCCGGGCTGGAGGAGGGCGACAACCGTGCGTGCAACTTTCTTTTTTTCTTTCTTTCTTTCTTTTTTTTTTTTTCTTTTTTCCCTTTTTTCAGGCTGAAAATGCTGGCTGGGAAGCGCTGGGGTGGGGGTCGCATTTTGCAGCCCGGGTGCGGAGCGCGGCGCAGCTCCGGGGAGCTTCGGGAGGGGGGGGGAGCGGCCGGGACCCCCCCCTCCAAAGCCACTGGGGATGCTCGGGGGGCGCGGGGCAAGGAGCGGAGCTGCGCGGAGGGGCCGCACTGGTTTGGGTTTTAATCGATCCTTTTTTTATTATTATTATTTTTTAATTTCTATTTACACAGCGAAAAGCACGGCGCGCTTTTTATTATTTTTTTTTCCCTCCTGCAGGCATTCCCGCTGCCCCCGGAAGAGATTGCGGCTTAAAAAAAATAATAATAATAATAAATTAAGAATAAATAAGAAGAAAGAAAGAAAAAAATCCAAATCGCAGCGAAAAAAAAAACAAAAACAAAAAAAAAGGAGCAATTTGGGGAAATCCGCGTTTTCCTGCGGCGGAGATCGGGGCGCGGAGCCGCCGCCAGGTTTGCAGCCGCCGGGCTGGGGCGAAGACGCCGGAGTTTGGGTGCAAATTCCAAAGATTTGGGAAGAGTTGGCTAGCTAGAATTATTGTATTTCTTGAGCGCTGCGGGCCGGTAGGTGAACGCTGAGAGCCGGGGCGGTTTTGTTGGCGTCTCCGTTGGGTTTTGGGTCGTTTTAGGGGCTCCGTGAGGCCCTAAAAATGCGTTTCAGAGGGAAAAGGAAAAAAAAAAAAAAAAAAGGAACCGGAGGAGGGAGGGTTGGAAGCGGGATTCAAAGCCCGGGTAGGTTCCTCCTTGCTTTTATTGTGGCTGTTATTGGCTTTTTAGGAAATGAACTTCGGTTTCTTGGCAGAGTTATGGTTCTCGGGGCATTTCGGAAAGTGCCTTTTATCAGCAGGACATCACTGCGGCTCTATTATATATTATATATATATATACAAGCTTTTTTTTTTTTTTAATATATATATATAAAATCAGAAAGCTGCTCGCATTGCACCGAGGGAAAAAAAAAAGAAAAAAAAAAAAAAAAAAAAGGCAACTAAAAAAACTCACCAAACTACTCCAAGGAGGGGTGGGGACCCGCAATTTTTCCCCGCTTTGCAACCCGGGCTTTGGAGCACGGCTCAAGACACCCTCCTCTCTCCTCCCTCTCTTCGTGGCAGAGCTAAATTTTAGAAGAAAAACAAAAAAAAAAAAAAAAAAAAAAAAAGCCCCGGCCCCAGCAGCCGCTGCCTCAGCCCTTCCCGGCTCGCCGAGCCGCTCGGAGCAGTTTAATATCCATTTAAGACCCAAATCGGTTATTTTCGGCTGGGCAGAACACGCCTCCTCCTCGTTCACATGTTGCCAATTTAATCTGGTCGCTCTTTAGAACCACTTCTATTTTATTATTTAGGGGAAAAGGGAGGGGGGGGTAGGGGGGGGGAAGGCAAAAGAACTTGGACGGGGGAAGGAAGCCGAGCCCGTGTGATGGGTCGGAGCCACATGGTGCTCCTTAAAATGTTCGCTTTGAGATTCATAAAATATTTAAAGCCCCGAGTCAAGCCTTTTCTATTTATTGCAGTGTATAATTCAAAATTATCGTGTATTAATAAGCCAATAATGATAATCTCTATAGGAAAAGCATGCTAGTTGTGCTGGTTTTATGGCTGCCCTTATCCTTTCTAATAACCTTTGGCTCGGCTCTGTAATAACTCACCGCCGAATGAGCAATTGCCTGGAGTGCCTTAAATATCTCCCAGCCTTTTCCACACTCCGGACCCCCCCTCTCCCCCCGCCCCGGCCCCGGGGCTCCCACGTGATCCCCGCCCCGTGCCCGGTTCGAGTCCCTGCTCCTCCTGCACAGGGTGCGGGGCGAGGTTTTGGGCTAAAATCCTTTATTTTTCACCCTCCTATTATTATTATTATTATTATTGTTGTTGTTGTGTTATTATTATTATTATTATTATTATTATTATTATTATTATTATTATTATTATTATTATTATTATTATTATCGTTATCATTATTATTATTATTATTAAACTTTTGGAGTTGGTTTCCTTTCCTAAAACCCAAATCCTCTCAACTTGGGAATTCAGGATGGGGATGCAGAACCACCCCAGGACCGTGCCTTCAACCCAACGCTGCTCATTTTCCATTTTCCTCTGCGTTTTTACAAACCCCAGCTCCTTGGTGGCCTGGCTGGGGCCATCCCGAGGGGACAACACGCGTGTAGGACACACGCACATGCCAGCACACGCTACACACGCACGCGTTCCCTGCACACGGCGCGGGATCATCGGCCTCCAGCGGCAGCGACTGAGTGCGAAGCAGCTTTAACACTGAAGTTACTTTTAATCAAGAGCCGCCGAGGCCTTTTCCTACAGCTCCCGGGGGGGGAATCGCGGCTGCTGGCGCTTGCAGGGCTTTTTTTTAAGAGTTATAGGTAAACACTGGGCACGGCTTCAAAGGCGGCGAGGGGACACGAACCTGCGGTGAAGTCACCTGCGATGGCACGGCGGGGGGGGGGGGGGACACACCAAGTCACAGCGGCTCTTTGGTGGGAAAGGGTCGGAAATGGGGTTTTCTGGAAGGCGGTGTGAAATGGGGATTTGGGCCATAAAAAGGGCTGAAAGGTGGATTTATGGCGTTTCTGCCTCTGCGGTGCCTGCCGCAGGCTCCATGGGTTAATGCACGACTGCGGGATGCACACCCCTGCGTGCACGTACACCCCTGAGTGTGCAACACACCCCGACGTGTGCAACACACCCCTGAGTGTGCAACACACACCTACGTGTGCACACACACACACAAAGTCCCAGCCCTGGCTCCAACACGCACGCACACGCGTGGCCGCAGCCCCCCTGTTGGATAAAATGTGCCCGATTGCACCCCCACATACAAAAAAAAAAACCCTCGTGCATCCCCCAAACCAGCCTGCAGAGCTTTGGCCGTGCACTAGCACAAAGCCAAGGTTTTGCACAGACCTTCCTCCCCCAAAAACGGTGCAAAAAGGGCCAAGGTGTCCCTGTCCCCGTGCCCGAAAGCATGCGCATGCAGGCAGCACGCGGGTGACGTGCAGCCAGGGGCACACGTGCAGAGCACGCACCCCAAAGGCAGAGGCTTCCCCCCCCCCCAAAAAAATAAAATTACCCCCCCCCCAAGGTGCACAGCAGGCACAGAGCCCCTGAAACACACACCCTGCAAGGTGCACAGCCAGCACAGACCCCCCCCAGAGTTAAAGTGCATTGAAAAGCCCCCCCCAAAATGCACACCCAGTGCATCCCCCCCCCAGCCCCATGCACGGTGCAAAAACCCACCATTAATGCCTGCCTTCCCCAGACACCCCCATACCCAGCGGGGGTCTTCCCCAAACCCCCAGAGCCCCCAGACCTCCTTTTCCCAATCAGCAAACCCACCAGAGGGGTTGGGGGCAGCATCCCCTCTTACCTGAGCCCCCCCTCACCATCTCCAAGCCACCCCCCCCAGTATAAAGCCAGGCCAGCGTTGCTGGTGATCTTGGGCCTTTCTCCAATAAAGCCTGACCTCTGGGTGCCCTTCAGTAAAATATGCAGGGAGACAAAGCCCCAAGCCCCCCCGCAGGGCTGCCAGAGGGGGGGGCACCATCCCCAGCCCTCCCTGAGGGGCCTCATTGCAGCTTTTTGGGGGGAGACTGGGGCTGGCACCGGGGGGCTCGCAGCACCCAGCCTGGCCCCCTCTCCTGGTGCATGTGCAAGGAGGGGGGGGCACAATTGTGACCACTGCACCCTGCTGGGGCTGAACAACCCCCCCACAGCCCCCAGGCTTTCACTGGGTGCTTGCACTGGGCTCAGCACCACTGTGAGCTGCTCAGCATCACATGTGCACACACATGTGCCAGACATATTTGCACACCCAGTCACACGTGTGTGTGCATACGTGCCCACTGCTATGCACAGGTATGTGCACGTGCACCAAGCGTGTGTGCACACTGATGCCACACTCAAGCAGGCAAACACACGCTTGTGCGTGCAAAAGTGCCCAGCAGCTGCGTGCAGAGGTGTCATACACGCCACTGGGTGCACACGTGTGCATGCACACGCGTGTGCAGCTATCACCTGTGTGCAAACACACGTGCATGCACACGTGTGCACAGGTGTCACAGTCCTGTGTGCAAGCACGCATGCATGCACACGTTTACACACATCTCGCACTCCGGTGTGCAAACACAGATGCTTCCAGAGGCCTGGGAAAATAGATTTAAATTTAAAAGGCCTGTATTAAAAGGTTATAATAAAATAACTCGTAAATTAAAAGGGGACCTAAACCTGCATTCAGGGCAGGGCAGGGTGAGCAGGAATTGGCTCAGGACCCTTGCTGGAAGCACCGTGTCTGTGCCAAGCACTGGGTCGTTGTTTTGGCCCCACAGCATCATGACTGGGGATGAAACCTTGCAGGGATGTGACCACCTCTGCTGCTCGTGATCCCTCTGTGGTGAGGGTGTTTGAGCAAAGCTCGGTGCCTCTGTGCTGCCTCTCCCCACATCTTCCACGCAAAGCCTGTCCAGGCTCTGGTTTCACCAGGTTTGGCCCAAAAAAGGTCTCAGATCACCTTTATTCCAGGAGAAAACCCAAACCCTGAATTAAGAGCATCTACTCGTTAGCGTCCCAGCACAGTCTCATCCTCGGATGGGAAATTTGGGCGCTCGTCGTGGTGCCACAAAAATGCTTAGGGATGCGATTGCACCTCGATTTTCTTCCCCCTCGAGTTGCAACCAGGGCTGGAAAAAAAAAAAAAAAAAAGAAAAAAGGAAAAAAAAAAAAGAAAAAAAAAAGAAAAGAAACCAACCACAAACCCCGCTCCTCCAGCAGCAGCAGCACAATATGGTAGGTGAGCGTGTTTGGCTAATCAAGATAAATATTGTATGCATCGCAGGAGCGTGGCAGGCCCTGCTAACGAGCAGAGGGGCGGCCGGGGAAGCGGTGCTGGGTTTGGATGCTGCGGCTACCGCATTGCCATGGTTACTGGGGGTTAGAGCAGCCGCATCTCCCCCTCCCTGAACCCTTCTCCGGCTCCAAGGGGTGCAGGGGGGCTGCACCCAGCCAGGCCAACCTCCCTCCCAAAGCCTCCTGCAGGAAAGCAGGGCGGAAAAATAAGCAAAATTCTGGGAATATAGAGATTTTTTTTTTCCTTGGGTTGTTTTATAGGATTTTCCAAACCAGAGCAAACACATCTCTCTTTTTTTTTCTTTTTTTCTTTTTTTTTTTTTTGGGGGGGGGAGGTAGGGGAAGCTATTATAGGAAACAATGGATTCCATCCTGGCTAATTGTCTCCAGGTTTTTGCTGTGGGAACATGCCTGGCACATGCGGATGCGCTGAAGAGAGAAAGGGGTTTGGGGGTGCCTGCCCCCACTTCTCTTCCTTCCCTCCTGCTCTTCCTGTGGGCCTTGCCCTGGGGATTTTCCCCATCTACCCCCCCCCCCAGCAGAAGCAGAGATGCTGCAATAGGAGGGGGGGGGGGGCTGTGTTTTATATCGCTCCATGCTGCAGCTCCCAGGAGAAGGGCGAAGGCGCCGGGTCCCAGCCAGGGAGCTGCTGAGCTCCGAAGGGATCAGGTGGGAAGCGGAGAGAAAATTGGGGTTGAAGCAGGGGAAAAAAGGAGGGGAATCAAGCGCAGGCCTGGCCGGTGTGATGAACAGCAAGCTGGGGCGCGGGGGGGGGGAGGGAAGCGTGCTTTAAAACATCTGCTGCCAGGGTTATAAAGCAGTTGGATTTACAGCTTGCCTCCGCCAGACACCCATGCGGAGCCTGCTCGAGGAATCCCCGCTTTGCACCGGGGGAAGACGGGCAGCGTGCGCACACACACGCATCCCCACCCCGTATCAACACTACCCAGCCAGGAGGGTCCCCAAATTTGGGTGGCATCTTGGTGGGGGGGGGCACCCTGCATCCAAGTGGCACCTGGTGCACATCTGGAGTGCGCCCTAGGGCGACGTCCCACATCTGGACGGCCCCGCGGTGGCAGCACATCTGGGCAGCGTCCGAAAGTGGCCCCCTCTGATCCGGGCACTGCCCCACATCTGGACGTCGTCAGCAGCCCCCACAGCTGGAGAGCCAAACGAGCTGGCACCGCACATCTGGGCACCCCACGAAGGGTTGAGCCAGACACCCAGACCCCCCCCATCCCCTCCCCGGCTGGACACCGCAGGGGGCATCGG